CTCTCTCTCTCTCTCTCTCTCTCTCTCTCTCTCTCTCTCTCTCTCTCTCTCTCTCACGCGCGCGCGCGCTATACCAAGTACTGACCTGCGAAAGGTGGTGCTTTGATGCAGGTGCGGACGTGCTGAAGACAAAGCTGGAGCAAGGGCTACGCAGGTAAGTCTCAGGTAAGTCCTCAGGCCGCCATCACCATCTCTCCCTCCCTGCACTGCTCTACCGTATCAGTGCCCAGCGCTGCAGACTAGTCCTATCGTCGACTACTACTCCGCTACTGTCGTCTGAAGTATGCCTCCTCGATCCTCGACTCAAGAATGAGGAACTGAGGCCGGACCCAGCTATATGTAGCACTGGGTTGGCCTCAGCCGCTAAGTCCTGGCGCTCAAACTGAGGCTGGGCCTCAAAGTTTGGCGCCCAAACTGAGGCTGCTCCAGCGCCTACCGAAACGACGCGGCCTCAAAGTCAGGCCTTGGCGCCAAAACGCGCGCCAGGGCCTGTACTCAAAACGAGGCCTACAGGGCCTCTTCCTGGTACCGGTCCTACTCGGCCTAGACTCGGCCTACCAACCCTACGGACCCTGCTGAGGGTCGAAACGATGCAAACCCTACACCTACGGACCCCTAGTCTACCTGGTCGGGCCCTGTTGGGCCCGTGTGGTACTGAGTATGCCACACTCCCCCCTTCTTGAAAGACCGAGCTTACCTGCGAGGGCGAAGCTGTCTGTTGGAGGGAGGGACTGAAGTCCGGGTGGGAGGCTGTGCAGCTTCCGTGGCTAGCCGTTTTTTCTCATGATCGACGTAGACATCTGGTGCGGAGGCTTGCAAAGCTGCCCAGGAAATCCATCGCGTGTCGTCGCGTTCGCACCATTTGAATGTGACCTTGTACTGCATTGGCTTGTTGTCGTGCTTGCGATGCGTGATGACGCGGTCGTCGGTCGACTTCCTGATGACCATCCATGGAAGGAGGGTCTTGCGATCGTCGGCCCGGGAAGTCATCGCTCTTGGCTGGGGTATATGTGGTCAGCTTGGAGGCGTGGAAAACCGGGTGCATTGTGAGGTGCGGCGGATTTCGATCACAAAGGAGGGGCCATCGGGCTCATCGCCCGCGGCTGATGTGACGGGCCATGGTCCAAACCACTTTGGAAGTAGCTTGCGGGATACATCTTGTTCAAGCGCAAACTCCTTCATGGAGACCCAAACAAGGTCGTCGGCGCGGATAGGGCATGGCACGCGACGCCTGTTAGGTTGCTGTTGCATGCGGACTTGAGCCTTTTGCATGTTGGCGCTGGCTTTAGCCAGCAGGTCCCTATACTTCCGAACGGAGGCGGGAGAACAAGCGGCGTCAATGTCTGCAGTCCTTGGAAATGGAAGATCAGCGAAGATACGGCCTTTCCTGCCACCGTGGTGCAACTCGAAGGGAGTCACGCCGATCGCCGGGTGCAACGAAGTGTTGTAGGCAAATTCGATGTCGGGGAGGCGGTCAACCCAATCCTTCTGATCCGTACGGATGAGTGTGCGAAGTATTACTTGAGCGGCTTGATGTGCCCCCTCCGTCTGCCCGTCCGTTTGCGGATGCCGAGCCGAACTTGGTTTCATCTCGATGTCGGACTCTTTCATGAGGGAGGTCCAAAATGCCGACATAAAACGACTGTCGCGGTCGCTGACGATGTCTTCCAGAACACCGTGACCGCATATCCAGCCAGTGTGTAAAAGGCGCGCAAGTTCAGGAGTCGTGGCGTAGTACTTGCAAGGAAGAAATCGTGCGTACTTGCTCAAACAGTCAACGACCATGAGAATGTCGTGGTGCCCGAAACAGTCGCGGGGGAACTGGCCGATGACGTCCATAGCAATGGAGAGGCCGGGTTCCCGCGGGATAGGCAACAATCGTAACTCACCGTAGGGGTTGTGATTGTGGGGTTTGCTTCACTGGCAAACTTCGCAAGAGTCGCAATACCGAGTGACGTTGGTAATGAGGTCCGGCCACCGGAATCACTGCTGAAGCCTTGCGATCGTACGGTTGACTCCGAAGTGGCCGGCGAGTCGCGAGTCGTGGCATCTGCCGAGGAGGTGAGTCCGTAAACGACGGTCGTGTGGGACGCATAGTGAGTACTTGCCTCGTGAGTGAAGAAGCAAGTAGCCATCGACGACGCGATAATGGCTGGCCGGCAGGTAATCCGAGGATAGTTGCTCGTAGAGTGTGGCGTATTCCGAATCGGACTTGTATGCTCGCACAAAATGCTGATGAAGGGCGTCGTTGAAACCGGACGCGTGGTGAGTCAATGCACAAAGATTTGATCTTCGCAAGAGAGCATCCGCGGCTCGGTTGGAGAGGCCCGAAATGTGTTTCGGTGTGAATTCGAACTGATCGATGAAGTACATCCATCGAGCGATCGTGCTGTTCACCGTGTCTTGCGTCTTGTAGTAGGTCAATGGGTTATTGTCCGTAGCCCAAGTGAACCTACGACGACCGAGGAGGAAATGTTGCCAAGGCTTGAGTACCGTGAAGAACGCAAGCAACTCCTTCTTCCGCGCATCATCAACCAAGTTGATGGGGGCACCTTTTGGCTGAAGTACTCAATCGGATGCCAATCTACTCTGTCGTGTTGTTCCAAAACTGCACCCATGCCGTAGCCGGAAGCGTCCGTAGTCACTCTCGTAGGCAAGGTGGGATCGTAGATTCTCAGGACGGGAGCGAGGAGCAACGTCGTCTTAAATTTGTGGAACGAACTGCGGACTTCGTCGGTGAACTGGAAGGGCACAATTGGAGACTGCAATCTTGACAAGGACGAGGCGATCCGTGCGTATCCTTTGATGAAGCGTTGCTAGTACCCGGCCAATCCCATAAAAGAACGGACTTCCGTGGTGTTGGTCGGTTCTAGCCACTCTTGGATGGTCTTGATCTTGTCCGAGAGTGGACGGATGCCTTGCGGCGTCACAAAGTGGCCCAAGTACTCGAGCTCTTGCTGCGCGAATTCGCACTTGGCTCGGTTGGCCTTGTACTTGACCGTACGTAGCCTGTCCAAAACAGCACGTAGATGCACGATGTGCTCGTCCAAAGTCCGGCTATACACCAAGATGTCATCGAGGTAGATGAGCACGAACCGGTCCAACATGTCGCGAAACTCTATTGTCATTGCCGCTTGGAAGGTGGCCGGGGCATTCGTGAGGCCGAATTGCATTACGACCCACTCGAAGTGCCCGTACTGTGTCTTGAACGCGGTTTTGTATCGATCTCTTGGATGGATCTCGAGCTGGTGGTAACCGGCCTTGAGGTCCAACTTGGAGAAGTACTTGGCGCCGCCCAATCGTTGGAGAAGATCGTCGATGCGTGGGAGCGGGCCGACATTCTTAATTGTTTGAGCATTAAGCTTACGATAGTTAATGCATAAGCGCAGTTCCTTGTTCTTCTTCCGGACGAAGAGAACGGGTGCACCGTAGGGCGAGCAGCTAGGGCGAATCCAGCCCTTGTCAATGAGGTCATCAAGTTGTGTTCGCAGCACTTCGAGTCCCTCCTCGCTCATGCGGTAAATACATTCGCGCGGAGGTACGGCCCCATCTTCGAGGATGATCTCATGACGAATTGGCCGATTCGGTACGATTCCGACGGGGGCTTCAAAGACGTCGCCATAGGAGTCAAGAAGCTGTAAAATGCGTGGATCCAGTGGTTGTTCCGCCGCTGGCTCGTCGGGAGGGGGGAGGGCTTGCAAGAAGCAAATGCCCATTTCCTCCACGTCGTTCCGTGCGATGGAGTTGCGAATGCTTGCCGCGGAGACCACGTGACAACCAATCGAAGGGTGAGGTGGGGGTGTCGTACATGGCCCAAGTATCCCGTTCCGGTCACGAACGTGAACGGTGCGGCGGTAGAAGTTCACCGGGTGGTCCTCGCTGCGCAGCCACGACATGCCCAAAATCATGTCGAACTGTGTGTCCAATATGTCAAAGGACACGGCCTCGCGTGCATGGGGGGCGAAGTACACAGGGACGGAGTCAACACACCGGTCAATGGACTTGTGCATATGACCGTCGGCCAACGTGACTTGCGTGTGAAGTCTTGGCTGATGTAGTTGCAAGTAGCTCCACAATAAATCAAGGCGCTGCAGGTCACCTTCCCGATCTGAATGTGGACGTAGAGTAACGGTGCGTCGATGTTGTCGTACCGTTGCGTGGCGTACTCGTGGTCAATCTTTGCAATGTACTCGTGAAGGTCAACAACCGTTTCTCCATCTCCCATCACCGGAGTTGGTACTGCAACGTGCAAGTAGTTGTGCAGTTCTTCCATTAAGGCGTTGCAATGCGGCTTCGACAAGGAACCAGATGGGGGAAGAGGCATCCATTGGAAGTCCTCTGGCGTCAATGGGTCCAGGTCCTCAAGTCTAGACCATACCAACGAGTCCCCGAGTAGTGTCGGTGAGGATGCTGGTTCACTTGGTGATGGTGATGAAGTCGCGCACGCACATGACTCTTGCACGTGGAGAGGTTGGTCCAAAGGCGGGACCAGCTGGACAGCATAGTCTTCGTAACTTTCGTGAAGACTGGCGACATACGCATGTTCCCCGGACCTGGAGGAGGTTGCCAGCAAGGCAACCGTGTCCGGCAGAGTAGGAAGTGGAGTCGCCTCACTTCCCGCGGAGCTCAGTTTCCCGAGCTTTGTCGTGGACGGACGTCTTCTTTGCCTTTGACGGGGCATTGCGACGTCGTGTGCTTGGTGCTATTGCACCAATAGCAACAGTTCCACTTCTGGCGTAGCTTGTATTGCTCCTCCTTGAGGCGGAACTGCTTTCACGGCTCGTTCGGCTGTCCAACTTCTGTTGACGCAGATTTCGCCTTTTTCTTCTTGTTGTTGCGTCGTAGCGGAAGGGCGTTGACTCCGTCTCCTTCACTAGACTCGTGAGTCAACGCCTGGTCGTCCTCTTGTCCGTCGCATTGGACAGCAGCGACTTGCTGCGGTCACGGGCCTTTGCCCTTCTCCACAAAATTTGGTTGGCTTCGCCGCTTGTTGGCATCCCATCGATTTGTTTGGATTACTTTGCGCGCCTTTTCCACGATCTGGTCGAAGTCCGTGTACAGGCTGGGCTCCCCAAGTGCCGTACTCAATGCGTCGACCGACTGCTGGAAGAATTCGTGACGAAGATGTACAAACGGTATATCTAGGTTCGGAATCGTCACAAGTTTTTGCCATTCGGTTAGCCATTCGCGTGTTGACTGGCTGCCTTGACGCATGGTGAAGATCCTGTTTGCGCCTTTGCCTTGTGCGTCGTCGATGATGACGCGTTTCCGCCACTTCTCGATCATGGCCTCCCAAGTGATCTTGGTGTAAAGCTTAGCGACTTCGACGCCTTCGGTTTGAGCTAGGTGCTTGAGCCACACTTGGCTGGCACCGGTGCTGCAGAGGTAAAGCGCTGAGATCTTCGACCCTGGCGGGACGAAGTGGATGGAGAGCTTGTTGGTGAACCCTTGCCACCAACTGATGGGGTCCGCCTTGTGGTAGTCATCAAACTTGTCGATGTTGAACCTCAGCATCTTCTATTGTTTAGACGTCAGGCTGTTGCAGGTCCCAGTTGGTTGCTGCTGCAGCTGACGCAGGTCCGCTTGTAGGGCGGCGATTTGCTGGCTGATGGTCGTCAGTCGTTGAAAACTGTTCAAGTTTCTGAGGAGCACGACCAGGTGATCCATTCGTCCTTCCAGCTCGCGGATCGATGGATCGATACGTGAGGATGTCGTGTGTCGGTGCGGCACATCATCCGTCTCCAGCATGTCGAGGCGGGGGTGGAGGCTCTTGAGAGTCTCCTCATAACTGGCGATGACATTTGCCCGCCGGGCGAACTCCACTTGTTGCCAGTTACAAGTGAGGATGACTTGGTGCATCATGCTGGCGAGGGCTGACTTGGTCTGATCCTCCGCAGTTGGTTCCGTCGTCGCCGCTGGATCAACATTCCATGCTTGGAGTGCGGCGGTATGCAAGGCTTCCTGCTGCATGAGGACGGATGCGGCATCTTTTCGAGCTTTGTTATGGTTGGCAGCTGCTTCCTCGTGCTGCCGGCGCCGTTGCTCGGCGTCGCAAGCAATGGCGTTGAGGCGTGCCGCTTCAGCTGCCGCCTCGTGTTGCTGTTCCTCTTGTACTTGTTGCATGTAGGTGCCCAGGCGGGCCAGAAAGACCGTCATGGTCTCTCCTTGCTGCCAGACTGGCGCAGCGTCGAGGGCTCCCGCAGGTGTCGCAGTGGAACCCACCTGCTGGACCTGTGGGACCGGGGGGTTCGAGCTGCCGGATGCGGCATTGGGGTTGCCCTGGGCGTCCATTTCAGAGGGGAGGGGCAGGGGTAGCTGCTGTTCCGCTGCGGCTGCCCGCCCTTCACGTGCTGCGATGCGTTCGCTGCGTCGGAGCATAAGCTGAACTGCTGTACGGTGTCGGCTGACGCGGTACTGCTGACGTGGCCCGGCTGCTTATGTGGCTCCTGCTGATGTGGCACTTGGCTGACGTGGCACCTGCTGACATGGCACCTGCTGACATGGCACTTGCACTTGCTGGCATGGCACTTGCGGCAGTTGCCGACATGGCACTTGTGGCAGTTGCTGACATGGCACTTGCTGACGTGGCCTTGCTGACATGGCACTGACATAGTACAGAGAGGGGTGGGAAGAAACACGCAGACAGGCAAACACCGGACTGCAATTTTCCAATCCTGGGTACTAATCAACAGAAAAAAATAAAAAGAAAAAGATTTCTCCTTTTTTTTTTGTTGAAAATCTGTCGATTAGAGAATTTAGGAAGGCATCTATCAGATAACGAGCTGGAATCAGAAACGGTTCAGAAAAAAATTCTCGGAACTATACTGCCGAAAAAAATTACGAAATAACTCTGACTTAAAAAAAAAAAAAAACGAAATCGGACGTAATCTAATTCCTAGCGGCTAACCCTAAGTCCGTTGAGACACAGTTCCGCGGAATTCGCGGGATGGCCGGAACTTTTCCGAAGTTTCCAAAATTCGCGGAATTCGGAGAATTCGCGGAATACGCAGAGTGCCGAAATTTTTGGGATTCCGAAATTCGCGGATTTCGCGGAATGCCGAAACTTTCGGAAATCCGAGATGCACGGATTTGAAAGTTTGAACTTAAGAAGTTAAGAATTAGTATTTATAACAACAATAAGAAAACGAGAGAAAAGGAATTGGCAAAATTTTAATTCGTTAATTCATCTTGATTAGGTTTAGCGAATGCTAATCGCGGATTAGCGTTAAGTGTGATTAGTGCAAATCCGGGGTTAGCGCTATTTAGTCCTAATCAAGGTGACAACTTTAACATAATTTTTTTTTTTTGCAGAAATTTGACGAATCCCTACTTCATTGATCAATCAGTTAATCAATCAACCAATCAATCAATCAATCAACCAAGTTGGTTTCTTGATTGGGCAGATGCTCTTTCGAGAGGTCTGCTCCGATACCAAACTGTCGCATGCCAAGATGGCACACAGACCAGAACCAAGAAACGACCTCTCACAGATAGAACAGGATAGCACAGCAGAAGGCTGGAATACAAATGATCAGACCCAATCAATGTCGAAATGCAGACTGGACATACATCATCATCATCACACGGTGTGAATGGCCTGGCACTGAACGCCAGGACGAAGGTGCCAGGCCTAACTCATACACAGATGAGGAGGGGGAAGAGACGAAGGAGAAGGGGAAGAGATGAGAATGTCGTCAACTCAAATGTCGCTGATATCAATCCCAAACAGTCCCCCCAAGGTC